CGTGTTTTCTATCATCTGATAGCATGCTTGTGGTCGATGATGGACAAACCATGCTTGTAGCAAGCTTGCTCATGTTGTTGGATGGCCTCTAAATGTTCCATTATTTTATTCCCAACGCAAAGTGCTTATTTACTGTACTTGCTATAACAGACTAATAGGTATGTTATTCTTAAAGACCAGTTTTATCGGCATTTTTATAAATAATGATTCAGGTATTTAATTTACGTGTAAATTATTTTGTAAATAGGCCTTGCTAATTTTCTTCCAAATAACTCGTCTTAGTTCTTTGGTGATGTCAACGGTTATAACATTCAGTCCAAGAGCTAAAACCACCCCCATAGTCACACTGTGACGGGGCAGTGTTTACTTCTTCAACTATGACGTGAACTTCCTCCACTTCAACTGAAAAGGGGTCGACTCCTGGAATATCCTCTCAACAAAATCACTCCACTAATTTTAAATGTCAATCTCTATCATGCGCCATCGTGCCATCTTTGACCTGAAGGGCTACCATTTGTGAATTTCCAATTTACTGACTTTTTGCTTATATATATGCTTCCACTGCTTGCAATGGCATCTTCAACCATGTTTGTGTCGTGGTACAAGATTTATATTCTCATTATTTGCTCATCTTTTAAATATATTTGTGTAATCAACAATTTTTTAGCCATGTCCATCTATTTTTATATATTTTTTCAACTAAAAGTGGTTGTTATAACATTATCTTACGTGGAACGTAGCACTTAATTGTTGCATTAGTAAAACAGTTGAAGTAAAGTTATTAATATTGGGGGAATATTGTATATAACTGTATTGTAGATGTCGATATTTCGATACATTTCTAACAATATCATTATAAACAGTTAACATAATTGGATTTTGAAATAATGAAAATTATTATATTTAAAATGTTAACTTTGTGAAATGCAATATTCCGTTATGAGTTAATGCTAAATAGAATACAAGTATGAGCTAAAATACAAGCTCTCAAAGCCAAACTTGAATAACTAGAATTCAGTGTAAGCCGGACGGTTATTTGAAATAAGTATATAGAGATTTTGCTTTTTTATGGAATTCAGTAAACCCATCGACACTGCCGCCATCCACATGCTTGGCTTGGTCAATCCCTCTTGTTTTACATTTAACTTTATAGTAATTTTACAAATATATAAAAATAGGATACTCAAGCATGTCAGAACAATTTATTCAGCATTTTTCACCCAGTGAGCCTCAGCCTCCACCGCTGCGTCATCGTGATGGCGAGTGACTCAGATTAAACTGTACAGTACATACTCTTTGGTTCTTTCGGTAAAGTCACGTAGGTAGAAAAATAATAGATCACGACGTTTCGATCCCAACACAAGCAATCGTCATCAGGTGGGACAACCACAGCAAGAAAAAACTGCTGATGTTTATATTGCCATGGCGTATTAAAAACATTTCTAAGAGGCCGTCCATAAATGACGTCACGCACCTGGGGGGGGCAGATATTCGTGACGATATGTCACGGGGGGGGGGTGAGAAATGTGACGTCACATCAAACTGCGCAACTTTAAATAAATATAGAATTGTTATAACAACACTAATTGTTATAACAACACTCCTATAACATCAGAGTGTAGCGCCACATTAAACGCGCACTACAATGGCAATCGTTTAAAGCGATTTGAAGCATGCTTTATTTTGGTGGGGGTGGGCAGAGCTTTGTGACGTCATATTTGAGGAAGGGGGGGTCTGACTTTTTGTGACGCCGTGTGAAGAAGGAGGGGGGGTCAAAAATCGTCCAAAATCGCGTGACGTCATTTATGGACGGCCCCGAACACACGCCTCGTTTTTGACGACCGCGGCAATCCGTGCCGACACTGTGCTAACAAGAGGTGGGGCGAGAGAGGGACCGTTCCCGCAGCAGTCTGCCTCGGCCCCTTCTGATGCCACCGAGTTTCAGAACAAAGCCTCCGAGCTTCCTTCCCAAACTAAACTACACGCTTAGGCCCAGGCTGACCCTGTATACTAGCACTGAGGGCACAGGTTCAATATGCTAACCAGGTGAGTGATTTCGATTTAAAGCTTTCGTGACTGCAGGGATTCATCTTCTTGGTTCTTTCGGTAAAGTCACGTAGAAGGGAAATAATAAAATAATAAAAATAAACCATAACATTTTATTTTATTATAATAAAAATAAAACATAACATTTTAATATTTGTATTATTTTATTATTTCCCTTCTACGTGACTTTATTATGTTTTATTTTTATTATTTTATTATTTCCCTTCTACGTGACGTTACCGAAAGAACCAGGTGAGTGATATCACTGTCTTGGAATAACTCCCAACGATCAAGGGATTTCCCTGATTGTGAAAGCCCAATTACACCCTTTTCCACGTCTCACAGATACATTCTAGATACATATTACAAAGCTGAATTTCACTTTTTCAAACAGTAACACATTTGGATGTTTTTCTTACCCTCATTAGTTTTTTTTCTAATAACCCACCTTTTCGAAAGTGAATAGATGAACCCGCTCTCAAAATACTTTCTCAGTCATCAATTAATTTATTTTAAAGTGTGAGTCATTGTCGAGGCCACAAACAACATCACCCCGGAGTGGCATAGTATCCAATTTCACATCATAATTGGTCACTCATTTCATAAGCCTCATTTTGCAGGATCAAACCCACCAAACTTAGACTCCCACAGTTTAAGTTCCGAAATGGAAAACACCACACGAATGCATACTGCATCAAATTGTTCCTCTTCAACTACCCCAAGCTGCTCTTAGTGTTTCCAAGGCACCTTACAAACATAAGAACGTGTATTTTCTTCGTGTCTGGATGCAGAAAATCTATATGGCCGCATGATTCATCACTTTAACCGAGCGTGCGCAACCTCGGCTTCCCCATCATCAGAAATCTGTCTTCTTAACCTCACATCTGGCCATTCCTTTTCCAAGTATCAGCATACATTCTTGCAGATTTATGATGCCACCGTGAGGTTGTCAAACCTGAAGGAATGGATCGATGGTTGGATGCTGACCTTGCACACGCGGCTTTGCAAGATGTACAATGCAACTGATCTGGAACACACTTGGCTCTATAATGGGACAGGAGGTGGATATGTTCATGCAGGCGTGGAATCCCCCTTTTAATAATTATGCTACATGGGGTTAGGTGGCAATGCCAGGCTATTCACTATAGTAAATAGGATACTACTAATGTTTTTACTTTACCAGGTAAGACCCACTGAGCTACATAGCTCTTTTTCAGAAGCGACCTGGCCACAAATGATAGCTCAACAAAGTGGCTTATCGTGTGGGAAATTTATAGGAGCCAAATATTCTAAACGTGTGTTGATTCTAAATGTCAATGTCTGCTCATTACGCTCGGGTGTCAGATAATATGTTCATGGTTGTGGGGGTTCACGGTGTTGTTGTTGTATTAGACCTGATATTCTTATTCATATTGCATCCCAACGTTTCTCTATTTATATCACTGACGTGTCATGTCAGCTTGCCTCTTTTTGGTTCTCCCCCTCCCTCCACTCTTCCCTTTTATTAAAAAACGACAGACGTGGCAAAAATGTTTGCTAAAAATGTGGTTCCACGTTGAAAGTAACATTTTACAAAATACAAGTCTCGCCAAATACACACAACACCCACCAGTTAAAACCTACACATTTGTAAGACCATTTAGTTTTCCTCAATATAATCTTATAAAATTTGCTTATCATTTTGTAACTTGTAAGGAAATGTGTAGATGATCCAAAATGAATGAAATTTCAGTATAACGTTGTGCTGCTATTTGGGTCCCACGGTGGTGAGATGTTAACTACGTTGTCTGGTATACAGCAGGTCGTGGGTTCGATCCAACCCTGATGCCTGTATATTTCGAGTTTGCATCTTCTCCCCATGATCGTGTATATTTTCTGGTTCTTCCGGTTTTTCCCTCCACATTTAGAATCAACATGCGTTTAGAGTATTTGGATGCTATACATCTCCACATGATAAGCGACTTCGTTGAGCTATCATTTGTGGTCAGGTGGCTTCTGAAAAAGAGCTCTTTAGCTCAGTGGGCCTTACCTGGTTTAAAATAAATATCTATAGTAACAAATGCATCATATCGAAAACTGTTCCGATTGAACAAAGGGTTGCCCGTGCCCTTTATGGTACAGGGGCAATTTGAGCCCCATGTCTCATAGTGGCCTCTGGGAGTACTGCTTCCGGCACGCCTGGCATGAGAGTGGCCACTATTATTGCCCATTAAACACTTGTAAGGACAACACACACGTTGGGAAACGTTACATAATTCACGAGGACGAAATAGTGTTCTTCTTCCTTCATATTTTACTTGGTTGCATGCGTAAGAAAATTATGCTGGAGGAAATCTACCATTTAATGAATGCTTACACGTATTGTGCACTGCCTAACGTAATTATGTAAATGTGCGTGCTTTGCTCACATGTATAATCTTAACATAATAAGAACATGTTCATGAGCTATTTTGATTATGCCACTGAAGCGTTTATGAACATCTCACCAAGGTTTGTACAAGCTATGTGTTGTTTGTAAACTTTAAAGAATTAAGCTTTGGGCAATGGTCCTTCAAAGCAAAACTAAACTGAATCTAATGGCCAGAGCTTAATATCCTATTATATATCTTTCTGTTACGACACAGTGCAAATTACCTAGCAGGGGTATTGTTAAGTCTGGTTTCCTAATGCCAATTTAATGCCAAAGCAATTCTTTACGTTTGACACTAATCACATATTCTCGGGACAATACATTGTATAATGGATTCTCATCTGTTGGTAAGTCAATCGGCATACTCTTCGTCAAAATGAATAAGCAGACAATATGTCGCTTTCACATATCTGTTTCTCAACATAAAATATGTAAATGTATTTCTTACACAACCCATCAAGACAAGTGTAGGAAGATGCAGCCCTCCGATGATTCGTAATTTACACATGCAGAGGTTTCCCATACAGGGTGTGAAGTGCCTCACCTGCGAAATCCAGTTGTATTTTGCGGCTGACCAGAGTACCTTCTTGTCTGTGAGCGACGCACACATATTCTCCCTTGTCTGAGTTTTCGCCACCATGTTCATAATCCTGGGCTTGGGACAGAAATATAGATCCGTTGGGTAACAGTGTCCAGCGTGACGAAACATTGAGGGTCTCCGAGAGGAGCAGGGGCATGCCGTTTTTGCGCCATGTCACGTTGAGGGGCTGTTCTCCACCATTGCTGATGTTAACTGGGCCTCTCCTGCCACCCACAATGCCACCACGGTGACCAAACACACCACCGCCGCCCAAGAAGCCTTGCCCAGGATGACCAGAACCAAGTCCTGGGCCCAATCTTGATCGGATGGCTGGGCAATCGAGCAGCACCGGCCGCCCTGGCACCACGAACACGTCCGTGGGTCCAGGGCCGCAGTGGAGGTCGTGCGCTGCCACCGGCAACGCCACCACAGACTCTGGAACAAACAACGCAAGACCAATGCATCGCGGTTAATGTTCACGTTGTGCTTAACAATATATCAATGAGCTGTGTGTGCAATTTGTGTAACTAAATGTGGAAAATTATCTCAAACCGTTAAGCCGTATTTATATACACAACACACACATATACATAATATAGCATCAACCGAACCACAAGAACGTTTGTCAACATAAAACATCGTCACAATTAAACATTTCTATTACAGCACTTCGTCAATCCACTGCTGGATAAATGCCTGCCCATGCCTCGTCGGTCGTGGGGTTTGTTGGACCAAACTTCCCCCCGCTGATTAGTGACGGGTTGGTGATGCAGGTGCCCCAGGCCCTGTTCCATATCACTTGCCAATTATTTCCCGGTGGCTGGCAATCCACATGTGGCCTGGTTTATAATGCCTGCAAACACAGCTCCACCTCATCGTAAGTAATACACAGGATGAAATTGGTTCAAATACTTCAATGGTGACCATACGGACGGGATATTCTGCCACTGGCTCAAGGCCGCAAATTGAGATGAGCACCACCCCAATACTGTGCTGACTTGATCACGGATATACTGTTACTTGATTTGACAGAAACTTGATAACGTATAGCAATGAGAAATTGACAATTCTTGACCAATGCAACCCTACGAATCATCCACACTGCGTGACCACTCCATCAAAGTCAATATTTTGCACGTAGTCAAACAACACAATCATCTGCTAAATTAACACTCTCTTCATTTTGATTGAAAGCTTTCCCTTCTACGTGACTTTACCGAAAGAACCAAGAATATATACTCTCTTCATTGTTTTACGGTGGCTTATCTCAACTCGTAAAGGTTTAATTCAGGTCCTGTGGGCAATTCTGTTTCTGCCATTGTACTTTATATTTGCCCTGCAACTAGGTTGTAATATGAACAAACTTATCTAAATTCTGTGACAATAGTCTTCAAAGCATGGCATGGGTACTTCTGTAGTTTTAATGAAGCCTTTCAGCATCTCACTCTTCGCATCTGTGATGTTTTATGTTGAAATAGATCAATAGTCTATTGGTACTGTGAAGCCAGCCTAGTTCCCATATCCCATGCTGGATCGTTCTACAAGTATATTATCATCTTTCATTGTTATCATTCTATATCCGACGCTGGCCTAGCATATGTCCCTCATCATTCTATTTGCCTCGGGAGCCGAGTATTTTAGAAAGAGTACATGACACGTGGCTATTACACTGTCGACTTCGTGCACTTTGTTGGTTGCAAAGAAGGTTGCAAAGCTCTTCAGCTTCACACACTAGGCATGAGATTCATACATTCAAAGTCCTTTCTCAAGGGCTCACATGACACAGAGAAACATGTTGCATTCTGTGACTGGGATCTTGCTACAAGAAGAATTGAGAATGTTCACATATGGCGACACGACCCCTGGAAACATTATGTTTTACTGACTCGACAAATCATATCATTATAGTTAAGCTCAAACATGGACACTGAGAAGGAATCGTGAAAAGATGAATACTCAAAATTACACTGGGACAAGAAGGGAACCACATGAACCTCATACAAAAAATCTAAATCAGAGACATCACTCAAATTTGATATTAAGAACAGCGAGCCTGGGAATGACATATTGTTATAATGGATGATGGCCAGCGGACAACACTGATTATAGCCTGGCAACCAAAGGCAAATCTGCACCTGTGAGAGCAACCCACCAAGGAGATGGAGGGATGATATAATTTCATGTGCAGAAGTGCAATGGGTTATTGCACAATGGAGGAGCAAGAGGAACGGCGGCCGCATGGTGAGGTCTGATCCCAGCAGTGGATAGACTGATGATACAGTGAGGGTGATTTATTTTTGTTATTCACGCTTGCTAACGAGCATTCTTGCCTTCTCTACTTTCAAAAAGAATCACACATTTCACTGCCCCAACCTTGTTCAGACCTTCCTGTTCTCGTAAATCCAGATAATTGTGCTTAGTTTTAGTGCTATACCTTAATGTGTGTTAGTGACTGCGTATTCAATCATATTAATTAGAGTTGAATCACGTGGGTGTTTTAGAACTGTCTGTCAACATGATCAATTTAGCAGAATTTCAGCTTCAACCTAATTTCCTTCATGGCTTTATACAAAATATGTCTAATGTAAATGTTCAAAGTTTATTGACCCCATTATTCAACCCTCAATTATTCATTATCGCTTGTCCACTAAAAAAAACGAACCACGAGAAAACTAATCAGAGATAAAGATGAAGTTCCTGGAAAACAACACTTTTAGTGGCCGCTTTAATTTGATCTTCATTACTGACTGCCAAAAGGGCTCACAAATGTGTAATGCAATCAAAGCCCCGTCTGGCTGACTGTGCGCTGTGTCTGGCGCTACTGCTCATGTGTACAAGAATCAATAAAAGCAAGGCTGGTGGCAGGCGGTGGCAGGCAATTTTTCAAATTTGTACGACACGTAATGTATAAACTGTTATTATATTTCTGGTTTAATGTGACCGAACAAGCATTATATTTATTTATGTGATATCACGTTTCTGGGAACCATGATCTCTGAAGTTACAAAAATGAATTCTGGGAAAGAGTATATGAGGTTAGAAAAGTGAAAATGGCAAAACAACCACTATCACGACCTCTTTGTTTCTTTGTGATGATATCAGGGATGGGTTTATGATTTTAAAATGTCGAATTTTGGATTTCCACATTTTCATGGGCAATTTAAAAAAACATGCACATGATTTACATAATGCAATTACAAAAGCTACTTGACTCAATGCCATGATGCACCCCATGAGAGTTGGCACAATACGTGACATAATTTCCCGTGACATCATACTTTGTGATGAATCTGAAGTAAACCCATTTTATGAGTTACCCCTACATTCCGTACCTAGTCCTGAGTTTTTAATTTGTGGACTACGACTAAAACTGCCAGGATCGGGGGGGGGGGGCTGTCATGACAATTGGGGGGCAGACGCTGTCTCCCCGACAGACCTGGTTTTCACCTGAGGACGGCTGCTTGCGTTGTGGCCGAAACGTCTGAGAATTATTTTATTGTGTTTTATTTTATTATTTTATTACTTCCCTTCTACGTGACTTTGCCGAAATAACCAAGAGGATGAATCCCTGCAGTCACGAAAGCTTTAAATCGAAAGGTTTCCCTTTCAGACTGAATCTATTTAAGTGAGTTACAGCCCTGTGTAAATGCGCCGCTGGGTGGAGATGTCCCCGACCCATTTCAGCAATTGGGGTTGGGGGCCGTCTACAAATGACGTCACGCACCTAGGGGGGTCAGACATTTGTGACGATGTGTGACAAGGGGGGATGGGGTTTAAGAAATGTGACGTCACATCAAAATGCGCAACTTTAAATAAATATAGACAACACGTTCTACTTAATTAAACAGACTTTTTCATAAATGTTTTCTCCTACAACATCAGAGTTTCAGCGGCACATTAAATACGCACTACAATGACAATAGTTTAAAGCGATTTGAAGCATGTTTTATTTTGGGGGGGGGGCGGCAGAGCTTTGTGACGTCATATTTGAGGGGGGGGGGGTCTGACTTTTTGTGACGCCGTGTGACGATGGCGGGGGGGGGGGGTAAAAAATCGTCCAAAATCGCGTGACGTCATTTATGGACGGCCCCTTGTTTAACCATACTTCGCCGTGCCGGTGAAAGGTTCGGGGGGAGTGGGGCAGGATTAGATTAGATCAGCGGTCGGGAACCTATGGCTCGCGAGCCATATATGGCTCTTCCAGTGACGGCATATGGCTCCCAGACAATTTTGAGTTGAAAAAAATAATAATAGTAAAAAATAAAAAAATCAGTTTGGAACTGATTTTAAAATACTTGTGATATTGTTTAATAATACTGTGTCATTTTAAAGTAAACAGAAATTAGTTTTGAAGATAAATTTCACGGGTCACGCCTGCATGAAGCTCAACCTCACCACGTATGAACCAGACTACAAGGCCATCAGCAAAACCATATAGCACCAGAAGTCGCATTAAAAGTAAGACATATTTAATTTATTATACGTTAAAAATACTATATGGCTCTCAATGAAATATATTAGAAATATTTGGCTTTTATGGCTCTCCCAGTCAAAAAGGTTCCCGACCCCTGGATTAGATATTACTCGCAACTGATGGTAGTCGTGGCTGGGATCAAACTCAGGATGAAACTCGGCGTCGTGTAACGGTCTACCAGCCTGTGCTGCAGCTCCGCCCCGAATAAACGGAGTGCTATTATATTTCTAAGCAACAACACTGGTGATGGACGCAAGTACTGTCGCTGCACCGGCAACCTACTGCATTGCATTTGATGCGGATACATGGCACAAGGTTTCTTGACAAACCGGGTAAAAACGACGCGTTGATTAAATATCGATTCTTTGTATCATCGCTACATCAAATCGTGTAAGAACCCATGTTTATTTGTATTCATACACGCTGTGTGCAAAGGGCACATAGCGCCCTATGTCTCCTGGAGGCACATACATTTTTGCGCAATGTATATGTATATTTATTCCTGAATCAAATCACGGCCCTGAATCGCAACGATTCATCAAATTACCGGAGAGATCCATTGCTCCATCCCGAATACACGTCGTGAACGACGACGGCGACAAAAACAAGTTGACAAAAAGTACTTTTCATTTTGACGTCTGCTTAATTTATTTTTTGTACTATTACTCCCGCGCGTTTGTGTGCAAGTACATCAAGTACAGCTGTTTAATCGTGTGGCAGAACTCCTTTTACAGTATTGGTGATTATCTTCGTGTGAATTCACTAACCCACGCGGTTCAACCAATGCATAATATATCACGCTACCTGCAGATTGCTTTTTCCAGTTTTACAGATTTGTAGATAAGAGGCGTGTAAAATGGATTACAGGCACATTTTCCTGTTGGCCTTGTTTAATAGTTGTGAGGAATGGCTAGCTAAATTAATCTTGCTACCTGTGATTTGACACAGATAACGATTCAAT